TTCGCTAGCCAAGTAGAGGCATTATAAACTTACAAAAGTATAGTTACTCTACTCCCTCCTAAAAAGGGATAGATTTGAGAGCCTGAGTATAGAGCTTATGCATGAATGCAAATGTGTGTGTGTAAGGAAATGTAACAATTATTAATCAAAGTAAAATCAACAATATAATTAGCAACAATATAAGACAAATAAAATAACATAATAAAACTATAAGAATCCATCAAATTTTTACTTTTTTTTTCTTATTCTAAGATGAGATAAAAAATTAAAATTAAATATCAAAAAGCTCAAAAAATCAAAGTTTGGATGACACATGTTTAATTTTTGGCTTGACTTTCAAGTGTCCCCAGTGGAGTCGTCAAGCTGTCATAACGATTCTTTTGTCTAGGAGAACTTGATCGCTAGACTTGGATGAAAATTTTCGAAGTCACCACCAATCTTTTTTTGTGGGGTGTGATTGGCCACCCAAAAATTTTATCTTTTGATAAAAATCTTAAAATTAATTAAGATTTATTAAAAAAGGTTTAGGTTTGCAAATTAGGGTTAGGTCCGGGAGTACGGTTACGAGTGAGGAAGGTATTAGTACCCTCATGTCACCTGTTCGAGGAACAAAACCAAATAAACATGTGTAATCCTTTAATTTTGATTATGCGATCTTTTTATATTTAAATTTAATTTCTTAAATTTTATTTATGAAATAAATTTTTTTTTCTGTGAAATTAACATTAGTATTATTATTTCATATTCTATAAATTCTCCAACACTTTGACGAAATTTATAGAAAATCATTGTTTAGAAAATATTTTGGGAAAATTGACCATTCACAAAATTCTCAAAATCTCATCATAAGATATTTTATTTATTTGTTTTAAAAAGGATTTTAGGAACATCTCGATTCTTTGGTGAGTTCCCAAAATTTATTAAACAAATTTTAAGATTATCCCAATTCTTTGGCGAAATCTTAAAAATTTTAAACAAGTTTTAGGATCATTCCAACTTTCTGACGAGATTCTAAATAAAATCATTTTTGTCCTAATTAAGGGATTTAATTAATTAATTAATTATTATTATTGTGATTATTTTTATCATTTATTGCTTATTTTTTAATTTTTCTTATTATATAAAAAGATTTAGAATATCTTGACTCATCAGCGAAATCTAAATATTAATCTTTTGCTTGTATTAAAAAAATTAACTCTTTCAATTTTCTACATTTTTTAAAAAATATTTATTCAAAATATCAATTATTATTATTATTTTATTATTTTATTGTTTACATAAACCTTTAGTCTAATAAAAATAATTTTAGATTATTCCAACTCCATGGTAAAATCCAAAAAATTATTTTTACTTGTAATAATTAAAGAAAATCGAACTCTTTCAATTTTGTCTAAAAATTACATTTAAAAGATTCATTTAAATAATTTATCATTTCTTTTTATTTTATTTAATTAAAATCTTAGTGTTTGTTTTTTTTAATGTTTATTGTTACTGATAATTATTATTTTTAATATAAATATATATAAATATTACAAATTATAAATTATAAAAATCTTAAACAAATAACAAAAATAAATAAAATCAAAAAAAAAATTAAAAAAAGAAAAAAGAAAAAAGAAAAACTTACAAACAGGTCAAGTTGGAACATAAGTCATGTACGGATCCTATGCAGGTCGGGTAGGTTATATGCCTAAAACGGCATTGTTTTGGTGTGCTTATAAAAGGATTGTTTTTGTTTTTTTGGTTTTTTTTAATTTTTTCCTTCCCTTCTCTCTACTTCAGAGTCTCTTTCTAAAAACCCAGCCCCTTCGTCGACCGCCATGGCAACCTAGATTTCGGTCAGTTGCCATCATACACCGATGGCTAAAATCTTTAACGACGTCTGAAATTTAAAGTTTTCCAAATTTCGACAATATTCCTAGAATCTGATCGTTGGAAACTTCAAATGTCAGAAAATTCAAACTTTTCTAATTTCTGACGACCCAAAAATTTTTTCAAAAAATTCAAAAAAATCTCAAATTGATCATTTTTGTTTTCTAAACACTCTTTTCGAATCATATCTTAAAAAAAAAAAAAATCAAACCTCATAGATCAAGAATTTCAGTCTTGAGAGAACTTTTTTGTTTTAAATTTTTTTTTTTTGTGTTTGCTGCTGGTTCCTCTATCAAAGAGAACTATGGTTTTTTTTTTTTTTTTGCATGTGAATGGCTATAAAAATTGCTTTCTACTTTTTTTTTTCTAGTAGTGTTCCCACCCCTTTTTTTTTTCCTTGATAGTATTCCCCTCTTTTTTCTTTAGGCTTTGCACTATGTTGTTCTTCCTTTTTGTTTTCCAAAAATTTGGCTCTATTTATAGAGTTAAGTAAGATATCAAAATCCCAAAAAATCTAGGATTTTGTGGACTTTCTGGGGTTTGTGGAAAAACTTGTCTGGTAACCTTTTGGTCGCCGGATTCCATGCTACAAGATTCAGTAGTGTCAGAGAGAAAAAATTACTCTGGCAGCTTGATATCAGCTGCTAGAGTTGAAATCAAAAATTTTTTTTTTAATAATAATAATAATAAAATTATATTGAAGTTAAAATAGAATCCGACAAAATTGATGCCTACACGAGATAACGAATCCCAAAGCAACAAAGTTCAAGAAGAATTATGATGGAGATATATGTGAAAACAAAATTTCTTTGGCTCCCAAACAAAAATTTTCATGTGACTTTTTATTTATTGTTTTTACTTTCTCCTGATCGAATACAAAAACAGATCTTTTATAGGAAAATTGTAAAAACCAAACAAATTTACAATTTTTTAGGGACCATACCATTGAGTTTTGAACTACAAATCGAAAAATATTCACTCTTATCTTATAAATCAATTTATTTAAACAGAAGCATATGATTCTGGTTGGAAAGAAAACATTCACTTCGAATTTGTCTAATTGGTTCGAAACATAAATAAACAAATAATATAAAGGCACCGCCCGGATGACTTGTAACTTCCTAACAATCATTTTTTTTAAGGAATGCAAATAATCATCTTAAATATGTGGTGCATTTTATTTATTAAAATCATAATAATTTATTTTATTTTGCTTTTAGTGTGGTGTACGTTGTTTCTAAACCCCCAAAAAAAAAAAAATCTTAACTCTTTTAAGCAGTAAAGACAAATATAAAGACAAATTTGACAAGTAAGAAACTAGGCACGTTTTTGTTGCGCTGAATGTAGAACCCAACATTTCAATTATTCTTATCCAAAATCATATACAGACAAATAAATGATTTTGAAGTTTTTAGGAGTGGAAATGATAATACAAATTATATATTATTATGAATAAATATCCATTTAAATTATTGTGAATTTTACACCAATATAAAAAATTATACTCATATATATAATATTACAAAAACTTTTACACTCAACTTAATTGTTTTTTCCTTAAGAGCCAATGAGAGAAGAGTTAAATTATATATCTCCATACAATCGTCCATGAACCTTGTCAAGATTCGTTAACTCATTTTTCATATTGTGGACCAGGTTCTAGCATTTATTTATTAGAAATAAAATAAAAATCAACACCATTCTTTGTCAGGGTATGGACAAGGATGATAAAGGGAGAGAGCCAATGATTTTGATAGCTGATTAATGAAAAATCTTTCAAAAAAAAAAATCCGAAAATAGTGCCCAAAATTGGAACTCTCCCATAGGTATCTCCAATGACGTAGTGATTCTTATTTAATGAAAATTTTTCTTAATTTTTAATTTTAATTTAATTAATTAATATAGTTACTTTTAAAAAATATCACTTAATAAATATTAGACTCAAATTCTATCGCTTGCATTTTTTTTTAAGACTTCGTGAGGAATTGCACCCCTTGATTATATTAAATTGCCACATCAAAATTATTTTAAGTTCAGAGGAGGATCCACACACACACACATAATAGAGAGAGAGGTTTTCACAAACACTTCCAAATATTAAAAAGTAAATAAAAAATTGAAGGAAGATTTTATTTTTGATACAACTTTCGTCGATAAAATTAATAAATTTATATATAATACATATTATAAGTGGATATACTAAAAAAATCTTAAATTAATCAAGGATTGGATTTCCTTTTTTTTTTTTTATGTGTTAGAAAAGCATGGAAATACCTTATTATAATATTATCAAACAAATTTACTAAAAACCAAAATATCAAAAATCAACTTCGTATTCCACTTGAAGTTGACATCCACATTTCCTCCTTTATATATAATTGGCAAAAAAACAAAAACTATAATTAGCTACTGCATAAATTAGAGTGTGAAAAACGAGATAATGAATACAAAAGCGATAAGGTTCAAGAAGAATTATGATGAAGATATCTGCAAAAACAAAATTTCTTTGGCTCCCAAACACAATTTTTCATGTGATTTCTCATTTATTTTTTTACTTTCTCCCGATCGAGTACAAAACAGATATTTTATAGGACAATAAAAACAAAACAAATTTACAATTTTTTAGAGACCATGCCATTGAGTCTTGAACCACATATCGAAAAATATTCACTCTTATCTTATAAATTAATTTGTTCTGTCCATTTCCAGAAATTGAATCAACATAAATCTTCCAAAATTAAATTTCAAGTTCCAATCTTTACTATAATTGTTTTCCAGTCCTCTGCAATGAGTTTTTTTTTTTTTTTAATAAATCGATTTTTATTTATTCAAAAGAAAGCAAATTAACTTATTATACATTAAAATTCATGTTCCTCTCTTGCACATGGATTTATGCGTGTTGTGAATTGAGAATAATTAATTAAATGGATCTATAGCAGGCTACCAATTTATTTTTTAGGAGTAAATTACACCATTATTGATCACTCAATAAGTTTGAATATAAACATTTGTGAATGTCATATTTTCTTAAGAACAATTTATTTAAGCAGAAGCATATGATTCTAGTTGGAAAGAAAATATTGACTAGCGAAACATGGATTGCATAGTCATAACAGAAACCATTAAAATTAAAAATAAAATTGGAATAAAATAAGATCCAAACTCCAAATATAACACACACATGATTTATTAAAGTACCACACTTAAGATACAAATAGAATGACTCCAAATGCCAAGCACCATTAGCAAAGCCATGTACATAGCTTTAAGGGTGTGACAGTTTACGAAATTATTACTTGCTAATAGCATATCAATAGGAGGAAGATTGTTGAGGATTTGAACCCTAAACCTTAAAACCCTCCTATAGATGGATGGGATGGATAATTAACAACCATTAGACTAAGCCAGAGTTGTTTCTTTATTCTTATACTATAATTTGAAACTTCCCCACTAGATAAAATCGAATTCCCAAGTGATATTGGGAGTAGAAAATATAGGACTAGCAGGAGGAAACCTTACATAATCAGTCTCTGGGTTAGTACACCTATCATCAACTTTGTTGGGGCAGTCTTGAAGGACAGAAGGTGGTAATTTTTTTGTCCTTTTAAAACAGAAACGGATCTCCCTCAGCTGAAGTGTGCCAACCTTGAGCATCATGTTGCATGAAATTTGAGGATATGCTCCCACCTTCTTCTTCACATTGTCTAATATCTTTTTCACTTGATAAAGAGTTTTATCTGCTGGTTGAATTCCCATAACTGTTTGAAGGATGAAAATAAAAGACATAAATCATCGCTTTCGCATCTTGTTAATGTAAAAAAAAAAAGAAAGGAAATCAAAGTTATATTTAGTAAATTTGTATGTATGATTACCTTTTAATGGATTGTATTGGCTGGTCTCGGCAAGAGTTAAGGCAGCGTTAAAATAACCATAAGGATCTTGATAATAATCAGAACACATACCATGGTGTTCCCATTCAATTTTCCAAAAAGCACTGTCTTCTTTATTGTACCTAAGGTTTGGCCACATTAGCTCTAATTTTCCTTTGATGGGCATCAATTTCTCCTACGAATTTAAATAACAAGAGAATAAAATACAGTTAAAATTGTACACAATAAATATATAAATGGAAATTAAAAATTAAAAATGGAAAAAGTCCATAAGACAATCAAATCCTATGAATTTTAAATGAACTAAATAAATTAAGGATATATGAACTTAATTTAACTAATTAATTAATTTGTTGTCAGATAATTTGCTTACCAAAATAGCCTCTGGACCTACAGGATTGGGATTGCATTTATTTGTAACTCCATTATAGGGAGGAACCCTAGTACCATCAGCAAATGTTGGCCATAGACCATGGATGGTGAACATTTTGGGGATGGATGACTTGCATTCGATTCCAGTATTACAAGCAGAAGTTGGCCATATGAGACTGAGCTTATAGAAGGCAAAGTCAGAGGTAGCAGCCGACACTAGCAAGGTTGCTAAGACAGCAGCAGCTAATAAATGGCTATGCATTGTTACAAGAAGATAGATGCTAGGCTTGCCGATGGTTCCATTTCCGTGCTAGGGTTTTTATAACAACTGTAAATGTTCTGGTTTGAAAAAGAAGACAAAAATGAAAGGACCACTTCTAACTTATCTCGTGGTATGAAATAATTAAAAAATTGTCTATTTTGGAAGATAGGTAGGCACATTTTTGTTTTGTTGAATTTACGTGTGTGGATATAAACATCATTCGGGTATCGTTTCTTTTGACAAATTTCATATTTTTGTTTCATAAAAAAAATTGCGTTTGTAAATTTTTTTTTTTTTGAAAGGAAAGAGTAATTTATTGATAATAAGGAAAGAAAAACTTGTGGATCAGCAGTCATTAGCTGATATCAAACAATCATTAAGAGAAATTGGACATTTCATTTCTTTTTTTCTTTTAGCATTCCACTAATTTTCGTGATTTAATAATCTTAACAAGATTTGAAGAGTATGCATTAAACAATTGCAACAAACTGCTAAGCTACTAAATTATGAGTCCGAGATAGTCCATGAATGATAGAATTTGCCTTGCCTCGCAAGAATGTTTTTGAAGGTGACACCCTTTAACCTACATTTGAGACTTTTGCTATGAGAACCAACAATGGTTTGCAATTATTCGCATAAAATTGTTTCAGACAGAGGGAGAGAGTTTAAAATTCTATGAAGATAAATTAAAGCTTTGTATACTTGACATATTTTCTATCTGTTTTTTCTTTCCAAAAAAAATTTAAAAGTCAACATTTAAATTTCCATATAAAAGCAAATAAAATTTTAAAATATTATGCACAAAGTATAGAATTTTTTTAGATGACAATTTATAATCTTACTATTATATTATATTATATTTTAACTCAATTATGATATTATTTCTTACCATTTACTTTTGCTTTATTAAAATTATTTAAAAGACAAAAAAAAAAAATCAAACTGAATCTAAGCGAAAAAACTGATAATTAATTTGCATCTCTCTCAATTCATTTATTCATTTTGCTTTCAAAAAACTATAATTAAATGTTGAAACTAAACCATTTAATTCAATAGCGATAAGGTTGATGAAGAATTATAATTGAGATGTGTAAGTAATACCACACTTGTCTTATTTACATCATTATATATATAATGAGATGAAATTTGGAATTTAGTTTAAATAATTTATGTAATTATTTCTAATGTTTTGCTTGATAAGAAAAATGAAAAGATAAAAATGAAAATTTTGTTAATATAATAATTAGATTTCATAATCATTTTTCTGCTTTATAGCTTAATCATTATATTAACAAAATTTTTCATTCTTAATCTTTTTCAATTTTCCAACTAAATAAAGTCGAAAAAATTATATCTAATAGATCTGAAGTTCAAATCCCTATATTTATAATCTTTTTGTTTATTTTTCAAACTATGGGACCAACCATAATTTTCACATGCTTTTAATTATTGGCAAAAACTGTTATACCTAACTTATGTTATCACTTGTGAAGGCAGCACATGTCATGATCGGAAGTCAAAGCTTGGAAGGGATAAAACCCTTTCATACTTTCACCTAAGACTTTGTTTGATTCATACTTTTATTTTATATTTTATTATTTATTTTTAAGTTATTTTTATTTTTTAATTCTTATTTTTATTAAAATGTAAATAAAAAAATGTCAATCAAACAATATTTAAATTAATCAAAATATAAATTACATGTTGATCGTCAAAAATTTTTGTTGCCTAATTTATTTTTATGTCCTCTTAAAATTTTCTCAGTCAGTAAATCAAGAAATAAAGGATTACTATTTTAGTTCCAACATTTTATGCATAACGTTTGGATCATCAATATTTCAAAAATTTTAGAATCTCCCTAGCCAATGTCAACAATACATGTGGTAATTGGTGGGTAGGATCGCGTTCGGGTTAAGTCAGTTCATTTTGATTTGAAGAAAATGCAAATTTGGATAGCCTTTTATTTTTGTTACTCAAGTTTGATATTTAAAGTTTTTGAAAATCAAATTATCATATTTAATTTATTTTAGATTTAAATTTTAATTTTAAAATCAAATTAATTTAATTTAAATTAATCTTCTAAATTATTCAAATCATTTTAAATTCAAATTATTTCAAATTGAACAAATTCGAATTACTTTGAATTAAATCAGGTTCGGGTTTGAATAATTTTTGCCAACTCTTGTAAACAATCAGTAAGAGAACATTCCTTCGAATAATTCCTTTGTACGTTCACTCAAAAAGTGCCACGTAAGCAATTTTTAAATTAATTATATGATAACTAAAATCAAAATAAAATCATTGGCATGTCATTTAATATATCATTCTACATTCACTATATCACCTGTAATTATTGTATAATAATTAATTAATTATAATTTAAAATTTTGTATATTTATCAAAATATTATGTAAACACTTATAATTAATGGATTATTATTTTTATTGTGATTCATTAATTGTTAAAATTTATTAAAAAAAATTGTAAGATGAAAAATGTTAACAATAAAAGATATGGTGGTCCTTCCGCTATGGGATTTTCTTTGGCCATGAGGAAAAAAGGAGAAAAATAAAAATATTAGGGTAAACTATATTATTGGTCACTCAATTATAGTTATATTTTTAAAATGGTCGCTTTATTATTAATGTTTTTGATTTAGTTATTAAAATTTGAATAAATAATTTTTTTATTATTCAACAGTTAGTATCTCAGAGCATGTTGAGATGGCATTGCCATATCACATCAAAAAAAAAAAATTTTCAAAATTTATAATATCATATTAGTAATGTCACTTAACTTGTCAAATGACAGTGTTAATGCATATTACACCTAATAGTTGACGTGAAATTATCATTTCATTACATTGTTAGAGACTAACGATTGAATGACCAAAAAACTTATTTACTCAAATTTAGTGATTAACTTTAAAAAATTAACAATTAAATAATCATTTTAAAATACAATCATAATTGAGCGACTAATATTGTATTTTTACCTAAAATATTAATGTCACATGTAATCATATATATATATATATATATATATATATATATAAAAGAGGTTTTGCACTTTATTTACTCCACATTAATATTATATTTGTTTTCCCCAATTATAAGTTACTTTTGTTGATTAATATATCAGTTGATTGGTTGAATTTTATCTTTGAAAGAATTTTGTTGATTTTATTTTTAATGCCTACTTGTATGTATATTCTGACAATTAAGATAAAACAAATTGAACTATTAAGATAAGAGTTATATCAATCACCATCTTAGATTCTCTAAAAAAAGAAAATCAAAATACCTCAATTTTTTTTTTTTTTTTTGTAAAAAAAGCCAAAGTTTAAAGAAAATTAAGAACCTCAATCTTAAAAAAAAATCCACTTTTTAAGAGAGGTAAATGAATTATTTAAGCTAAACCTTAGTTTAAAAACCTCTTTTTTTTTTTTTGCTATAACATAAAATGCCTAATCCAAACTTAGCATTTATACCAATTAGAAGAATCATCCCTCTACAAATGATTTCTGAATAAGCTAAAGATCAACTGCAGAATTTTTTAGAAGATTATGTTTCATTGCGAAATAAAATTTTTTTTATTTAAATACATTATAAATTTTAATTTATTTACATTTTAATATTTTTTAATTGATATATTTATTAAATTTCTCAAAGAGATTGTTTTAATAAAATGAAATGTAAGGTAAAATATAAATTTATTGCTTAAATATTTTATTTAATGATTCATATACATGGCTTTAAATTTAAAATTAGATTAAATTAAATTATCATAAACTTATATTAAAATTGAATTCAAATTAAAATTAAATCTCTCAAAATTGATTTCCAACAATGTAAGAACAACCCTTTTCAATTCTTGTCCTTAGCATTAGTTTTATATATTTTTTCAATTTTTAAATGTCAATTATTGACTGAATTTTTGGATTTTTTTTATTGCCAACAATATATTTGATGCAGAGGAAAATTTGATCAAAGGGTCCATTCTTCCTTGAGATGATCTAATTTTCAACCGAAAGGCCAAATATTTTCTATGTAAGAATTGTTTTTTTTAATTCAAATCGTGTTGTTTTTATTTTCTTGTTTGATGGATGTTTATGTTATTTTAATGCAGATTAAGAAACTGATAGATGGGAGTTTCCAGATAATAGCAGTGATTAATGATTAGGGTCTTCAAGTTGGAGGCTGGAGATATCTACCCAGCATGAAAATTCTGATCCCAATTCCTCTTCTGGTAATGATTTATGCATGCAATTTAAAGACAAAAAGCTGTCTTTTTATTTTTTTGTTTTTGTGTTTGTTAATATTTTTTTTTCCTTGGATGACATACACAAGAAGGAAATCAAAGCAATGAAAATTCTGATAACCTTCCATCATCTTCATTGTTGCCAAGAAAAAAAATCCTTTTTCATTTTTTGATGGAATGGCTGCTATTTTTGACAGCATTGTTACCTGATTCATTATGTCATCTCCCTATATTTTTATGGCTTAAAACAGACTGATTTGTGCTTAAAAAAGCTATCGTTAAAACAATTTTGGCTTATTTTTACCAGAGTTTGATATGAATAGCTTCATATGTTGAATAACATGGTAGATGCTTTTAACTTCTCTATTGATTAAATGGATCGATTTGGATGAGTAATGATCCTTTTGGTTGTACCTAAGCTAAGATTCTTCTATATATTTTTATGTATTGTGAACTTGTTGGCTTCTGATTATTGTTTGCTTATCATGACATGTTGAACTTCCTATGGTATCCCCAAAGTTTGGTCCTAGCAGACAGTATCAAGATTGTGGCTTCAAATAATATGTTTGGTTTACTTGATATGTTGCATTTGCTGGATCAAGCTCCTGTTTATATGATCTCTTATGCTAAGAAACACCACGTTGGAATCGACCACGTGATGCAGAGAGTACACCTTGGATTCTGAGAAAGGACACATGGAGATCTGCTGGTATTATGACTTTAACTCTATGTGTTTGAAGCATCATACCCCAAGTTATCAAATAGAAACTGCAACACAAAAAGTGGTGACAAAGGATAGAGAACCAAATTCTAGCATGCTTCCGAGTGTGGTCCTAGCACAGATTATTTTATGGTGATTATATACTGACGCCTTTGTTCGAACTTTGTAAATTAAGAAGAAAAATAGAAGTCTTCAATGTTCCAAGTGCATTCAGTAAAGATCACATGTGCAGCACTAGTGTGCAAAATTTATGTGCCTCGAAAAGTGTGGTAATGAATGAAATTTTGGTTTGATTCAAATGGCGCTTGCAGAATTTTATGAATGTCAGTTCTGACAATGAATACCTTCTTGTTTTTGTTTATTGTAATTTGTAACCTAAAATGCCTGCCTAAATCATACGAATTACAACCTCCCCTCACCCCAATAACAAATGAAACCATTTCCAGATATTTGTTATTACCAAATTCCACATTTGCAATCCCCATTCCCAGTCAGCTTTTCATGTTCTTTAAGTCAGTCGGCATCAATGCAGTTAATCTTTTATATTTATCAAATTATATCACCAGACCAGTGGTTTTGTGCAATCAAAAGCACGCGTGTATTTTGCTTTGTGCATTCAAATTACTTCTTCAGGTCCATCAAATACATGTATTTTTCAATTTCATGTGTTTAATGAGTGCTTTTGATTCGAAAGAAAGACATCCAAAAGTGACAGAGAATAATAAAGTATATATGTTAACAATGCCCAAAACATTAAAATTTAAAAATTAATTAAATTGGAGTTGAACGGGATTCAAACTTCAAATATATATTATCCAAACCAGCTTTTATTATAGTAATGCACTCAAAATTAATAAAATTCGAATGATTCACAATGCCAAATAGAAAAGCCATATGCTTTCAAACATGGTGAAATTTACGAAATTATTATTTCATAAGGAAAGGGCGAACTTTATTTTATGTTTGGAAGTCTTATAATTCGTCTTTAATAGAAGAAATAGGAGGAGCGGGTGGGAACCGTATTTCGTCGGTCTCGTTTTTACAATCACCGGCCAATTTTTTGGGGCAGTCTTGAAGGACAGACGGCGGCTTTGCCCTTTTAAAACAGAAACGGAACTCCACAAGCTGAAGCGTGGTAACCCTAGGCAGAGTGTTACATACAATTTGAGGATATACTTTCGATTTGTTCTTGACAGCATCTAATATGGTTTTCACTTCATGAAGAGTTGTATCACTAGGTTGAATTCCCATTACTGGTAGGAGAGAAACAAAAGATAAACTCACCATGGTAAAATTGTATGAATTTGAAACTATATATATGGATAAATCACATTATTAGTCACTTAACTATAATTATATTTTTAAAATGACCACTAAAAGTGTTTTTTTGTCACTCATTAATTAGTTTTTAATAATATATTGATATGATAATAATACATCAGCAATTAAGTGTCATGTAATTTATCATGTTTATAAAATTTATATTTCTTAAATTTATAATGTGATGTGACATTTAACGTGTTATTATCTCATCAATACAAAGGTAAAAATTAATAATTAAATAATATTTATTCAAACTTTAATAATTAAATGACTATTTTAAAAATATGATTACAATTTAATGATTAATAGTATATTTTATTATTCAAAAATAAAATTGCATGTATCATTACCTGTAAGCGGATTGTTGTTTTGGGCCAAATTTAAAGTCTCCGTGAAATAACCAAGAGTATCGTTAGGATAATCTGAACACATTCCATGATACTCCCATTCATGTCTCCAAAAAGTCGGATCGTCACGTGTACCTGTTCTGTCTGGATAAAAACTCGGCCAATTTTCATGCAATCTATCTTCGATGGGTTGCAATTGAGCCTACAAGTTGAAATGAACAAATGAAAAAAAAATAAATAAATAACTACAATTGATAAAAATTGTAAATGTAAAATTGATATTGTTCAAAACAATTTTTCTTACAGGAATTTGACTTGGATCGGTCGGAGTGATAGTGGTGCATGTAGGATCTTGCGCGTACGGAGGCACTGGAGTGTCATTGGCATATTGTGGCCATAAACCATGAACGGTAAACATGCCGGGGATGTATGGAATACACTCCCTTCCAATGTTACAAGCTGAAGGTGGCCAGGTGAGACTGAGCTTATAGAAATCAAAGCCAGACACACCTGACAATAAAAAGCTCACTGTGGCTAAGACAGCAGCAGCCAGCGCCATTAAGTGCCTCATTTTCATAGCTTTCCCAAGACTTTCCAATTTTTACATGAATTCAAGCTATGCGAGGCTTGTGTATATATATATATATACTCAAAACATAAATAATCATTTTAAATATCTTAAAATAAATTATGACTATGATTTTAATAAGCGGTGTATGTTGTATCTAACCGAAAAAAATAATCTTAAGTTTTTTAAGTAGAAAAGACAAATTTGACAAGTAGGAAACTAGGCACGTTTTTGTTACGCCCTTCCAATTCATTAATTTATTCATTTTGCTAAAAAAAAAAATACTATAATTAAATGTTGAAACCTTGAATGAAGTTCGAAAGTCCATTCCCCTACTCTCGCTTCTGTAACTGGATAACCAGCACTGAAAACCTTCTTGACAGACTGATGTGCCATTTTCAAAAGGTGGGAAGCGAGTCTTGTTGCCCTAGGCGAAGACAAAAACTAGATTGATAAAAAAAATCAATATTTTTTAAATCCATAATTTTGACATGTTTTAAATTATTAGCAAAAACCGTTATACCTAATTTATATTATAAAAAACTGTTATACCTAATTTATGAAATAGCTTGTGAACGCAACACATGCCTTGATCGGAGGTCAAAGCTTGGAAAGAATGAAATCCTTTCAGACTTTCACCTATTTTTAAGACTGTTTAATTCTTTTTATTTATATATTTTATTATTTATCATTTATTTTTAGGTCATTTTTATTAAAAATAAAAAACAAAAACGTCAATCAAACGAAATTTAAATCAGGCGACATTTAAATTAATCAAAATATATTTTTAACTGTTGATTGTCAGTATATTTTTGTTGCCTAAATTATTTTTCAACGTAAATTATATGCATGAACTCATGGCAATAGTATATATTTATAAGGATATCAATTTTACTCAAATTTAATAAAGAATTTGATTTTTAATTCAAATAAAGATGGGGATAGATATCATATTATGAGTATAGAGAAAATGATGGATATTATTTTAAATTTTTATTAGGTATAAGGAAGGAAATGAGTAATATAATACATATCCCATACTCGTACCCTATATATATTTAGTAAATAAATTTTTTATTAAATAATATAAATTATTATTTTAACTTAATTAGAATTAATATATGTTATTAAAAAATTTATGTTAATGAAAAATTACTTAAATATACAAGTTAAAAATAAAAATATTAAAAAAATAAATTTTAATTTTTTTATAAAAGTTACGGATATAAATATTATCCATACCCATTAAATATCCGTGGAGATAAGAATAGAGATCGATTTAAAATATTTGTTGGGTATGAGTATGATAATAAATATAATATAAAAATTTGAAAAATTAAGATAGAGAATACTCTAGTCTATCCATACTTTACCCATTGACATCCTTACATATTTGACATTTTTTTGGTACCTTGAATTCAAAATGCTTGCCACCCAATTATCTTGGACTAAACCTAAGAGATTTTTATTAAGATTCCATAAGTAATAGCAATGATTTAAATAGGAATGCTTGTGGGTCGGTTTGAACCAAATTTGGCCGCCATTTTTAAATGCCAAGTTTGGACCCAATGATCAATATTATTTTAAAAGTTATTAAAAAATATTTTTATTAACATTTTAATAATTTCAAATATATTTTAAAATTAAAATTAAATAAAAACTGAGCTTGACAATATTATCATGGGGACCGAAGCAAGCAAAATTTCCATTATTATCAAAATTTTTCCAACACCATTCCTGCTCTGCCAACTGCAATAGTTTTTGATAAATAATCTGAAAATTAAGCACAACTAATATGATCGTGCGCTTGGCTTTCTACATTATTATTTTTTTTTTTTGTGATCATACACCATTTTCAATAATTATATGAAGTTTCGCCACCAATTATTAATTTAGAGTACACTATATGGATCATCACTCAAATTTATGAAAATTGCTGTTTTAGTACCTATGCTTTATGCATAACGTTTTGATCATCAATATTTCTAACTTTAACAATGTCCCTAGTCAATGTCTAACAATACATTTGGTAATTGGGTGGGTAGGGTCAGATTTGAATTAAATAGCTTCACGTCAATTTATTCTAATTCGAAGAAAATTTGAATTTGGATAACTTTTTATTTCTATTGTTCAAGTTCGATATTTAAGTTTTTAGGATTAAACTATAATTTAATGTTGAAACTAAACCATTTAATTCAATAGCGACAAGGTTGATGAAGAATTATAATTGAGATGTGTAAGCAATGCCACACTTGTCTTCTTTGCATCATTATATATATAATAAGATGAAATTTGGAGTTTAGTTTAATTAATTTATCTAATTATGCTAATGTTTTGCTTGATAAGAAAAATGAAAAAAATAATAATAAGTGAAAATTTTGTTAATCTAATAATTAGGTTTCATAATCATTTCTTCATTTTATAGCTTAATCTTGTATTAACAAATTTTTCATCCTTAATTTTTTTCAATTTTCCAACTAAACAAAGCCGAAAATATGATATTTAATAGATTTAAAATTCAAATCTTAATACTTACAATATTTTCTTTTATTTTCAAACTACGAGGCCAACCATAATTTTCACATGTTTTTAATTATTGGCAAAAACTGTTATACCTAATTTATGTATCACTTGTGAAGGCAGAACATGTCATGATTTGGCGGTCAAAGCTTGGAAGGGATGAAACCCTTTTCATACTTTCATCTAAGACTCCATTTGATCCATGCTTTTACTTTTATATTTTATTATTTATTTTTAAGTTATTTTTATTTTTGAATTCTTATTTTTATTAAAAATAAATTAAAAAAATGTCAATCAAACGATATTTAAATTAATCAAAATAAATTTTACATGTTGATCGTCAGTAAATTTTTGTTGCCTAATTTATTTTTTCAATGTAAATTATATGCACAAAGTCATTGCAGTAGTGCTTATCTGACATATTTTTTTCTACATTGAGTTTAAAATACCAGCCACCCAATGAAATAAATCATGTACTTTTTTTTGGGTTAAGCCTAAGAGATTTTTATTAACATTCCATAAGTAATAAAAATGATTTAAATAGAGGTGCTTTTTAAATAGAGGTGCTTACCTATCAGATTAAATCAAATCAAAGTTAGATCAATATTATTTTAAAATTTATTAAAAATTTTTATTTTTTTATTAATATTTTAATAATTTTAAATATATTTTAAAATTAAAATTAAATAAAAACTGAGCTTGAAAATATCTGTATAAAACCCAACGTTAATTTTTTTTGTTGTGATCATACACCATTTTCAATAATTAAATGAAGTTGCGCCACCAATTATTATTTTAGAGTACACTATATCTATCATCACTCGAATTTATGAAAATTGCTATTTTAATTCATATGTTTTATGCCTAACGTTTCGATCATCAATATTTCTAACTTTAACAATATCCCTAGTCAATGACTCAATGTCAACAATACATGTGATAATTGGGTGGGTAGGTCAGGTTTGAGTTGAGTCATTTTATATAAGTTTATTTTGATTTGAAAAAAAAAAAATCGAATTTGGATAACTTTTTATTTTTGTCTTTCATGTTTGATATTCAAGTTTTTTTTATATTAAATTATCAGGTTGGATTCATTTTGGATTTAAATTATTAAGTTTTAAAGTCAGACCAATTTAATTCTAAATTAATCTTTTAGATAATTCAATTTTAATGATTTCAAATTCAAATTAAGCAAATCACTACATAATTTTTTGTTATGATTCACTAATTGTTAGATTGTATGAAAAAGAATTGTACATGCAAAATGCTCTTCATAAATGCATGACAGTAAATTCTAGCATGCAGCACGAAGGTGGTAATTTCACATAAATATTTTATAAAAGAAAGTTTAAAAAATTAACAACTCACCTTGCCGAGGGGTAAGAATTTTCAGTAAAGACATGAAGATCCTTTCTCCATGGGATTTTCTTTGGCAATTGAAACATAATCCATGAGGAGAAAGAGGAGAAAAATAAAAACATTAGGATAAAATATATCATTGGTCACTTAATTATAATTATATTTTTAAAATGGTTATTTAACTATTAATTTTTTTTATTTAGTGACTAAAATTTGAATAAGCAACCTTTTAATAGTATTGCCATATCAGCAGTCAAATGCTATATAGTATTATTATATCAGCAAAATTTATTTTTTATCAAAATTTATAATATCATGTCAGCAATGTCACATAACATATCCGATGACATGTTAATGCCATGTGATACCTAACGATTGACATAGAGTTTTCATTTCATCACGTTGTTAGAGATTAATAGTTGAATGATAAAAAAAAAAACCACTTACTCAAATTTTAACAACTAAATCAAAAAATTTAATAGTCAGATGATAATTTACAAAAACGATCATAATTGAGTAACTAATAATATATTTTATCCAAATATTAATGCCATAAGTAATTATATAGGAGGTAGAGATTTAAATTGCGATTACAGTCCCATTTTCGATTGCATTGCATTGAAATTTTTTAATTTTGCATAATTTATTGTAAAACATAGTAATTATACTTATGATCATAAAAATTACTTTCTAATGATTTTTAAAATAATTTATGTCTCACTAGGATCATTTATTTATATGAAAAAATATTTATAATTTATGTCATTATAGTAAAATATTCATAATTAGAAAAGTATTCATTCTTAACCAGGAATTTTTACTAAATATTAATAACTAATAAAATAAAATATATTAAATGTCAAGGATCCATATATACTAATATTACATTGGGAGTAAATGAGAGACTTTTGTATTAAAGATTCTTCTTATTAGAAATTTTTAATAGAATCAATACTTAAATTTTCTTAAAATTTTATCATCAAAGATTCGGATTTACTTTACTTATTAATAATGTAATACTTCATTTATAAATATTTCATAATAAAAAAGATTTTAACAATAATACAATCATTCATAATTTATTTAATTTTATAAACATTTTTTAAAATATTATTAACATGAACTAAAAATAAATAAACAAATAAAAACTTATTAAAGTTTTAATGTAAAGTCTAAAAGATCCAATAAATCCATAAATCAAATAGCTTCTCAACTATTGGGCCAAAATTTAGTATGCAAGGCCAAGATCCATTCAATTCTTTCCAATTTTTTTTCCTTTAATCCCAAAACTTATCATTTAATTCTTAGGTATGACTAAAAAATCATAAAACCTTAATCCATTTGTTCTTTCTCTTTTCTTTCTTCTGTCACCAGTGGCATCATTCTCTTCCTCCTTCCAAACCCGAAACTCCAACTCCAACCTCCAACCTCCATCTTCCCTCCGCTAGTAATGCTTCGTTTGCCGTCCAATTCCAGACACAATCTCTCTTCTTTTCTTCTTTTTTTCCTTCATCTTATTTCTTTTCTCTTGAAACATGAAAGCTTCAATCGCCTATCCCTTTCTTTCTCTTGAAACGGGGGGCCCCAATAACCTTTTACGTCCTTTTCACCTTAGGCCGTAGTATCAGTGCAGCCAGCTTCAGTTTTTTCAAGATTGATCTCACGATATATAACTCACTAGTTTACAACACAGTTTTTACAAAAATTTTAGAAATAAAAAGGAAATTTTAAGTTAAATTGCAATGCTTACCTTTAATTAGTAGGTTGTACTTATTTTAATTTAGTGTTTGAGTTTGATTGAAGCTGTATTTATTTTGTTTTTTGAGTTTTTCTCAGATGAAAAGCTCTTAATTTTACTCAAGCATAATGGTTTTGTTTTCATTTTTCTATATATTTTTTGAATAAAAATCGGAGCAGCAGGCAACAACAAACTATTATGGCCACTATTGACCGTTACACCACTTTTCACATCCTCTGTAGGTTGCAACCATCATGATTGGCATTCTCATCAATTTTTTCTTCAATGGTGACGGCGGATGGTAGCGTTATTACAAAATAATTGTCACTAACCCGCTATCAAGTCTCTATTTAAGTTACTCCACATTAATATTATATTTGTTTTCCCCAATTATAAGTAACTTTTGTTGATTAATATGTCAGTTGATTGGTTGAATTTTTATCTTTGTGAGAATTTTGTTGATTTTATTTATAATTCCTACTTGTATATAGGGGTGTAATCGAGTCGAGTTGAGCCTATACAATGAGAAACTCGAACTCGACTCTTAACTCGTGGCTCGATATTTGGTTCAAATTCGATCGAGTTTTATTTTCCTAGTTTGAGCTCAATTCGTGATCGAAATTGAGCTATTCGAGCTCACTCGATTAAGTTCGATTAATATGTAAAACTAAACTCGATTCTTATACTCGACAAGAATTTGATTATTTTTGTTCGAACTCGAATTTGAGATATTTTATTAATTAAAATAATAAAAAATATTTAAATATAAAAGCTCGATTAGGCTCGCGAGCTACTCAAGCGCGAGCCGGGTATAAGAATACTCGAACTTGACTCGATCGATGAATTGAGTTACTTGAACTCGAGTTCGACTCAATGATAATCGAATCGAATTTGAGTTTTATTCGAATCGAATCCGAATAACTTACGAATACTAATGTATCATTTATACCTCTACTTGTATATATTTTCTAACAATTAAGATAAAATAAATTGAATTATTAAGATAAGAGTTATATTAATCACCATCTTATATTCTCTGAAAAAAATCAAAATACCTTAATTTAAGAAAAAAAAAAGCCAAAGTCTAAAGAAAATTAAGAACCTCAATCTTTAAAAAATCCACTTTTTAAGAGAGATAAATGAACTATTTAGGCTAAACATTAGGTTAAAAACCTCACTTATTTTTTTTTGCTATAACATAAAATGCCAAATCCAAACTTAGCATTTATACCAATTAGAAGACACATCCCTTTACAAATGACTTTTGAATAAGCTAAAGATCGATTTCAATTTTATGTATTATTGCAGAAATTTTTAGAAGATTATGTTTAATTGCGAAACAAAATTTTTTATTTAAATACATTTTAATTTTTTAATTATTTATATTTTTTTCTATTTTAAGTGATATATTTGTTAAATTTCTCGAAGAGTTTGTTTTAATAAAACAAAATGTAAGGTAAAATATAAATTTATTGTTTAAATATTTTATTTAACGATTCGTACATGTAGCATTAAATCTCAAATTAGATTAAATTAAACTAATATATGTAGCATTAAATTAGATTAAATTAAATTAAATTATGGTAAACTTAAATTAACATTAAATTCGAATTAAAATTAAATCTCTCAAAATCTTCTAAAAATTTTAAAATTAAATTAAAATGAAAATTACATCATTTATTTAACACGGGGCCGGACTTAAAATCTTAACTCAAATCCGACCCGAAATAGATTGGGCTGACGAGTCCAAATGCGGGTGTCGGCAAGCCGTCGAATCATTACTCCTGCACCCACGAAAAATTATGGACCTGCTCCTATGTCAACTGCCAAAGCTCTTATCCATTTACGTGTGTGGCAGTATCATACTCACAGAATTCCCACGCGCTGCTAAAGCCTGTTCATTTTAATTTTTGTAAAAAATGAAAATTTATTAAACAAATATTTATTGATTTTCGCGTTTGTTGATGGCTTTTTTATAATTATTTATTATTTAATTTTTACAGTTAAAATAAAAGATAATGAAAAGTAGAGGTATTTACCCAAAAAATTATATCTGTAGAAAAAATTTGTGAATTTTTTCTTAGAATAAAATAAAATAGAATTATGTTAGTCATTATGAATTAAAATAACTATTTTTATTTTATTTTCTTTTTTAATTAAGGACAATTATTAGTAATACTTAAAATTATATGTTATTATTCATATAATTTACTCTAAATATTTTGTTCCTTCACTTTAAATTAAATAACTAGAATTACAAAAAAAAATTGGAATAGATAAGAAATATGTGACATTATAATATAAAAGAAAAATGTTATTTTTCCCTTTTAATCCAATATTTTATATTTCATATATATTCTTTAAGCATAACATGAAGTAATATTTTAACTATAATATATTATAAAAAAACGAATGTAGTTCTGTCCCAAATTATTTGTGTGATATTAATTTTCACGGGATTTAAGAAAAAAACTTTCACTTTAATATATTTAATATTAAAATTAAATTTTTTATAAAATTAAATTTCAAGACTTTTATTGTTAAAAAGTAAAAAAAAAAAATAAATATAATTTTAAAATATAAAAAAATAAAAATTTTAGATGTTAAAAAAAATGATATAATTTTGGGACATATAAAAAAAAATGGACAAAGAAAATAGGATAGATGGAGTATTATTATTCTTACATATAATTTTTTAAAAAAATTAATATAAGTACTAATTCATAGTTACCATTAGACAATTTAATAATTTTGATCAAACATGTAATTCAGAATTATCAAATCAATATAAGTAGAATCATATATATATATTTTATATTTAATCTTTAATCTTTAAAATTATTGAAACTTGATCATTAAAATTAAATTTTTAATACTTTATTAATATATTACAAGAATATAAAGATGATTTTAAATAGAAACAGATTCATATATTTCTTTTACATTTTTTAAAACTTATTTAGTTTAAAATTTTTCTTTTATTTCCTAATTTTTTGGTAATATTTTCTTTTTTAGAATTAATAATAAAAAGAAAAAAGACAAATAAAAGTTGTTCACGCGCTTAAAACGCGCGTCCAACAATGAGTTCTCCAGCAATCGTGCGTTAGGTAAGAAACCAACGACCTAAAAGGCATTAACTCCCAGAATTCCAACTTTGATTTTTGTGGAGGGAAGTATTCTTCACATTCTATTATTAAAAAAATATATTTTTTTGCAAAATAATTGGAAAAAAAATCAAGGAAAAAGAAAACCAAATTCAGACAACGTTTTCTTCTTTCCTTATCCAATTCCTATGATTCGTTGATTTGTCTTTTACTTTAAGAAAACAATTAAAATATAAAAAATTATTAACTTTTTTCCATTTTGCCAAAGTTCTTGAATTCTTATGCAAACCTTTCTTTGACTTTATAATTTGATTTTTTCAACAATGTAAGAACAACCCTTTTCAATTCTTTTCTATAGCATTAGTTTTATATTTTTTTTTCTCAATTTTTAAATGTCTAGTTATTGACTGAATTTTTGGAATTTTTTTTATTGCCAACAATATATTTGATGCAGAGGAAAATTTGATCAAAGGGTACATTCTTCATTGAGATGATCTAATTTTCAACCAAAAAGCCAAATATTTTCTGTGTAAGAATTTTTTTTAAAATTCAAATTGTGTTGTTTTTTGTTTCTTGTTTGATGGATGTTTATGTTATTTTAATGCAGATTAAGAAACTGATAGATGGGAGTTTCCAGATAATAGCAGTGATTAATGATTAGGGTCTTCAAGTTGGAGGCTGGAGATGTCTACCCAGCATGAAAATTCTGATCCCAATTCCTCTTCTGGTAATGATTTATGTATGAATGAAAATTCTGATAACCTTCCTTAATCTTCATTGTTGCCAAGAAAAAAAAAAAAACTGTTTCTTTTTTTTTTTTTGATGGAATGGCTGCTATTTTTGACAACATTGTTATTGAAATGAAGAATACATGATTCATTATGTCATCTCCCTATATTTTTATGGCTTAAAACAGACTGATTTGTGCTAAAAAAAACTATAATTAAAACAATTTTGGCTTATTTTTACCAGAGTTTGATATGAATAGCTTCATATGTTGAATAACATGGTAGATACTTTAACTTCTGTATTAATTAAATGGATCGATTTTGATGAGCAATGATCCTTTCGGTTGTACCTAAGCTAAGAGTCCTTTTATATATTTTTATGTATTGTGAACTTGTCGGCTTCTGATTATTGTTTGCTTATCATGACATGTTGAACTTCCTATGGTATCCCCAAAGTTTGGTCCTAGAAGACAGTGTCAAGATTGTGGTTCCCCATTAGCATCTTGCCTTAAATGTTTCCAAAACTTTATATTTTCTAATAATTTGTTTGGTTTACTTGATATGTTGCATTTGTAGGATCAAGCTCCTGTTTATATGATCTCTTATGCTCAGAAACACCACGTTGGAATCGACCAAGTGACGCAGAGAGTATACCTTGGATTCCGAGAAAGGACACATGGAGATCTGCAGGTATTATGGCTTTAACTCAAATTTTTGTATTTGAAGCATCATACCCCAAGTTATCAAATAGAACTTGCAAAATAGAAATTGCACAAAATGTGGTGATGCATAAAGGATATAGAACTAAATTCTAGCATGCTACACAGTGTGGTCCAAGCACAGATTATTTTATGGTGATTATATACTGAACCCTGTACTCACACCGTAAATTAAGAAGAAAAATAAAAGTCTTCAAAGATCAAAGTGCATTCAGTAAAGATCAAATGTGCAGCTCTAGTGTGCAAAATTTATCTGCTACGAAAAGTATGGTAATTAATGAAATTTTGGTTTGATTCGAACTGTGCTTGCAGAATTTGATGAATGTCAGTTCTGACAATGAATACCTTCATGTTTTGGTTTATTGTAATTTGTAACCAAAAATGCCTGACTGCCTGGCTAAATCATATTAATCCCCCCCCCCCCCACAATAACGAATGAAACCATTTCCAGATATTTGTTATTACTAAATTCCACATTTTCCCAATCCCAATTCCCAGTCAGCCTTTCATGTTCTTTAAGTCAGTTGGCATCAATGCAGTTAATCTTTTGTTTGATATTATCAAATTATATCACCAGATTAGTGGTTTTGTGCAATAAAAAACACACATGTATTTTCCTTTGTGCATTCAAATTACTTCTTCAGGTTTATCCCCTTGAGGTTCTTGACTAGTTTTCCTTCAGTCTAATAAATTACTTTTCTTGTGTTCAATAGTCAAAGACCAGTTTTACAATTCATAATTTTTTCTTTCACATTGATGCTTTGAGTTACAAGAGAACAAGAGAAATAAAGAACAGTCTAGATGGCTTTGTCCTTTCTATCTTCCAGGAATTTTATTTAGTAGCAGTAATATCTCATTTGTCTTCCTCTAAAGGGTATAACTAAAATGCAGATGAGTGTCCTGATTCACTTTTAAGTTTTAACTTCTTCTATCCATTAAACAGGTCCACAAGGAAGGCTGGAGAGATTGTTGAATGAGTCTGGAAATGGCTTTTGTGCAGATTGTGGATCCCCAGATCCGAAATGGGTGTAAGCATCATGCTTTAAAGTCTTCTCATCTCACTTTGTTCGTTTCTAGGAAATAATTTAGATTTCTCTAGACTTAGGATTTGGTATCTCTCTTTATGGAACAGTATCTCAAGTTTAATACTCTTTTGCGTGACATGAATGTGTCTCGAGTTGATTTCTCATCCCAACTTTTGGTAGTTATGTTGCAAGGAAAGAAAAAAGTTGTAATGGTAACAGATGGCTTTGTCTGACCTGCTTTTGTTTAGCTCTACTAATAAATTTGACTTTCAATATAATTTTCTAATACCCTGATATTACTGTGTCATTGTTGGACTTTTCAACCCTGCTGGAAAATATATACTGCAGTCTACACCTCTAAGGCAAGTTACCAAAATCATGACAATCTACTTTGTCCATTTTTCTTTTGAATAAAAGATATACTCAAAGCAAAGAAAATGGTTTCTTTGTTGAGCTTCAGGAGTTTGAACATTGTAGCTTCTTTCCTCCTTGTTAAGGGAAAAAAGGAATATTGTTGAATATATAAGATCTTTTTATTTTATAATTACTTTTTAATCTCTGATGGTCGCAAATATTTGCCTTTTGTTTGTAGTTATGTTCTTTTATTAACTTCTGCATATCCATTACAATTTTCTTTCTTGGAGGCTCCCTCTTTCTATCTGTTTCCTTTGTTTATAATGCCTCGAATCTAAAGTATGACGCGATATCTGTCTAAGTGACAATAATTCATTTTTTACCTCTTTTCCACAGTTGTTTCCATTTTATTTGTGCTTAAATTTGGCATATTAAATTCGCATTGCCTTTCTTTTTGACTATTTTTTTCTGTATATCAGATCTTTAAGTCTTGGGGTGTTTATTTGTATCAAATGCTCTGGTGTTCATAGAAGCCTTGGAGTGCATATATCTAAGGTATGGTTCCCTGATTATGCTCCTCTTTTACTTAAATGAAGTTTTAAATAGCTGATTATGTTACCTTTTGCGATCATTATCGGGTTTTGTGAGACATCTTAAAACTTATTGAAGTGGAAATTACTACTTTAAATACGGTAGGCAAGGATTCTGCTGGTATAGTCTTTGATAGTTGCACTAATGCATCTTGAATCTACCATTGCTATGCCTGCTACCTTCAGTCATCATCTTTAGGGAACGCTAAAGGTTGAGAATTGAGATTATTCCATAATGAGGACTCGGACTAATTAACCGTATTTACCAAAGCCACTAGATAGAACAACCAGCTATTAGGAGAAAGACATCTAGTAGCTAGCAGTACCCATGCAATAAAACAATATAGAGGAATAAGCAAATTACTGGCCTTGTGAAAATTCTTTTCATGTTTTAGTATGTGGGGTAAAGGATGTGATGATTGTTGATCATTGATAAAATTTTGCTTATAGATACTTTCTGTCGAAGTTTGCCATTGTGATTATAGTTTTTATAACAGTTGAGCATTCAGGATTGTTCTCTCTCTGTCTCTCTCTCTCATACACACGTGTTCACATAGATGCACACATGTGCACTTATCTTCTAATTTGATAAACAATTGTGCTAGGTTTTATCAGTGAAGCTAGATGAATGGACAGATGAACAAGTTGATATTCTGGTAAATTTGGGTGGCAATACTGTGGCAAACAGTAAGTATGAAGCTTGCCTTCCGGATAACCTTAAAAAGCCAAGACCAGATTCCTCCATCGAGGAGCGCTCTGATTTCATCAAGTAATGCCAAAATAAACTTGCCATACCCTTTTTTTGGTTGGAACACTTAATCCATTTTACTCAGTACTCTATTTCTTGAATACTTAGGAGAAAATATCAGATGCTGCAATTTTTGGATGGCAATGAACAAAAGGTCTGCCCCTATCCGCCTCATCAAAGGATTTCATCTTCTGCGTCTTCAGCCCTCCAGTTTACCCAAGATAAAAAACAGTATGAGAAACAACCAACTAGACATCGTATCGGACACAAATTTAGAAACAGCTGGGGAAGAAAAGATAATGATCATCGCAAGTCTGCCAAGAAGAACAACTCATTGGTATTTTTTTTTTTGGTTTGATCAGTGCTTATTCTCACTTTCTGATTTCAGAAACACTTCTTCCCATAGAGCAAACTATTTGAAGCACACCTGCTATACTAGTTAGATACATTTTGTTTCCGATGCTGCTTTACTGAAGAAAGACAAATAGATATCTCAAACTTGTTTTTAACAACACTAGCAGCAACTAAACATTCCTTTCACTTCTAAGTTTGTGACCAAAATAAGGCTTATATGAGGTGCTTGCTGGAGAATGTCGGTTAAGTACACAAATCCAGGATGACCATCGACCAAATGATTACATATCATTACCTTTCATATGCATGAGATCCACAATTCATGGTGATGATAGGTGTATCGGCCACTCTTGGTTAAATAGCTAACAAAGGGAATCACAATCCCATTGATACCTGACTATGTCTCATCAACTTATAGGAAGTAAAATGAAGATCTCTAAAATTGATTCAATCTTCTATACTTCTCGTCCCTGCAAAGTAGCTGGTAGTGAAGCACAGTTATTTCATGTGAGGTTTTTGGAAATATCAATGTGATCTTAGAAAATGCTTCGAGGAATTTATTTGTCAGTGGTTATGAAGGTGTCAAAAAGGTGTGCACAAATGTGCTTAGAACCGATAATCTCTAGAAATTAAGATGGATTTTGAAGTAGTTAAAATCCTTGTTGAAGGTAAACAAAGGGAAATGCATAGAAATTTTAAATATTTACTAGTAATTTTTAGCTAAGAGATGTTATATATGCAGTCCAGCAAGTAAGTGCCACCTTTTCAATGATGGTGTATACGTACTGCATCAACGATACTTAGTTTTTAGAATGTGCCATTCTAGTTAAAATTTGAAGGTTATTGATTATAATTTATCTGAATAAGTGAACCAGCAAATACTATCACATCTTAGTTTTTAAATGGAAGTTGTATCGTGTTACTGAATGTTATTTTTTTCTTTAACTGTACTGTTTATAGGCAGGTATGGTTGAATTTATTGGGCTGGTTAAGGTGAATGTGGTTAAAGGCACCAACCTAGCTGTCCGGGACATGGTGACTAGCGACCCCTATGTCATTCTTGCATTGGGTCAACAAGTATGCTTCTGTTTTCTCAAATCTGCTGACATTATTATTATTATTTTTATTATGTTGAACTGAGATGGACAAATCTAGTGAAGCAAGTTATGGTAGTAATCTAAATTCTGAATAATTTTCTTTTTGCAGTCGGTCAAGACCCGTGTCATAAAGAACAACCTAAATCCAGTGTGGAATGAAAGCCTAATGTTGTCAATTCCAGAAAACATTCCTCCTCTCAAAGTGGTGAGTTGATTCTTTTTTACACCAAAAGGAAAATGTAAAATTTGTTGTGTAGAATTACATATAGAAACATGAAAGCACAAACTGACATACTTTGTTTGATACTTTGCAACATAAGTTTCATTACACTGATAGTACTATGTTTGCATGTAACTATAAAGAACACTTTGATTGCATGAACATCTAGGGAAAATGATTCATCTCTAGAAAACCAAGTTATTATAAGCTCTGATTGATGTTTGAGAATGAAAGATAGGAAATGTGCAAATCTTAAAACTGTTTGAGGTAAGATAGTGGTAGTAAGCATTTATTTCCGTTTGTCTTTTTTTTTTTTTTTGGGTATTTGAGGATGCCAAGGATCAAACCCTGGCCATTAGAACTAAGAGTCCAGCACTCTACGTCACTCGTCCTTTTACTTGTCAAATAGGTAAGTCCGATGTTTCATTGAATATGATCATCAGTCTTCTTTTGGTTCATTTATATCTGACTATACATATAATTTAAAGGTGTCAACAGCATTCTTGCCGATTATGGCTTGTTTTAATCTTAGAAAATTAAAATAAACAATATCTGGGCCTTTATATGCAGCTTGTGTATGATAAAGATACTTTCTCAAGTGATGATTTTATGGGGGATGCGGAGATCGACATTCAACCACTGGTTGCTGCGGCGAAAGCCTATGAGAATTCTGAGCTTCAGGAATCAACGCAGCTTGGTAAATGGGTAGCAAGCAGAGACAACACCCTAGTAAAAGATGGTATCATCACCTTAATCGATGGAAAAGTAAAACAGGAGATCTCTCTTAGGCTACAAAATGTTGAGAGAGGGGTCCTAGAGATCGAGCTTGAATGTGTTCCTCTTACTCAATAGATGTCAGAAAGACTCAGGTACATATTGAGATGTCAAAACTTGCTTTTAAACACTTTGAATGGATAATGTAAATTAGGAAACATCATCTTGGCTGGTTAACTATGCCTTATCTGAGGTTTTTGTCCCACTTTGTATGTTCAAGATGATACATGCATATGCATTTTGAATTTTACTGCTCTGACCTTGCGAGTAAGATACAACTGTGCTTGCATTTAGACATTGCAATTCATTTATCTGTATCATGTTCTCGTTGTGTCAAATACATATAAAACACAAAATTATCTTGTCAAATTTGTGTCCACACACCAAACACAAAGCACAGTTTTTGGTTTTTGCTAAACTCATTTTTACTAAAATTTAAGCAGTGTTTTTTGTGTCTTTTCTTTGTGTTGTATCACAGTGTCGTGTTTAAAATTGTTAGGCCTACTTGCATTGAGAGGGAACCTTATGGAAGGATCGTGAAGTGTTTGAGAGATTAAGTTCAAGTGAGCTTGTGTGTCCTCAGCGATCAGCTGGGAACCCCCATTTATAGAGTGAGGCAATGGTATGCGGATGCTGGTAGAATTTGTAGCACCCCACTTGCACTCTCGGCTTTGCTCCTTATAATAGCTTTTTCTCTTCTTTCTTTCATCTTTCCCCATTTTTGCCAATGTAGGGCCCCAATTGAGCCAACCCCATTGTTTGGGAGAGTGGTCTGACACTAGGGTCCCTCTCCAACTCCCTAATGAGAAATGAGCTAATACATGGTTTTAATCAAAATTTTGAACTGAACTATCTTTATATTCCATAAATCCAGCAAGTAAAAGCACTCTTCAGAAAATCTCTAATGCTACATTTGAAAGGGTTGAAATATGGGTGAAATCAAACAGATACATATCTTTTGGAGAAACCAAAACATTATCTTAATGAAATAAATTTGGTTATCAATACGAGTATTGAGTTGAGCTAATAATGTGACTCCTAACGTTAATTGAGTTTTAAAAAAAATAATTATGCTAATTGGAGTTAATTTAGTAAATATCAAATATTTTATTTATAAGGTTTAGGTTTGATTATCATTATCAATAATTCTTTTTGGTGGGTAATTTGTAAATCTAATGTAAACTTAAATGATTTGTAAATCCAATGTAAACTTAAATTTACGGTTCTTGAAATGAGAAAATCTCTCCTCACTTTGAATTTTTTGTAAAAAAAAAAGAAGTCAAATATATATATATATATATATATGTATAAGTTGGTATTTCAACTACAGTATAATGTTGGATGTCGAATCTTGATTTCCAATTCTAAACACATTGGATTTGAAGCTGTCATTTTGGACTTGAACATTCACATCATCAATAAAAACACAATATGTCTGCAGGAAGTAAGGATTTGATGGAGTGAAATTGGATGCAATTTCTTGTAAAAGTTGTTAGAATGAAGGTGGAAAATAGATCAGAACCAATAAAAATCATATTTATAAAGAGGTGTCCATGGCAATGTTCCTACTTGATGTATCAGACTCCCAATGTTTGAAAGCATGAAAATGGTGGTTGAGTAATCCTTCTATGGTCGTACAAGGCATGTTTCAACAGTACTCAAATTCTAGCAAGGCAAATTAGTGCAATTCTGAATAGCAAACTCAGTTTTCGGGTTCGGATCAACCTTCTCTTGAACAATGAGAATGTTCTGTTGCTTTGGTATAGGTTGCATGTTACAATTTTGTAAGACAACAGCTGAGTTTCCAAATATGAAATCACCTGTTCCAATAATGTCGCATTCACAGTAGGCCACTGCCTGATGCTTTTGCGGTCCAGCAGTGCTGACAAATCGCATATCTCAAGCAACAATGCCTTTTCCAAACACAATTGCAAAGAAGGCAAGTTAACACTGTCAAACAACCATAAATCACACTATAAAGTTTATAGAACTATTAGTAAATCACAATGTTATCTCATCAAACTTTTTTTATAGTTGTTAATTTTAATGAGATTGCTAGCTATGATGTATTAAAAATATATCAAGAACCCGAAACTTAGCTCAATAATCATTCTTAAAAGATGACATCTAGTAAGTTTAGAGTTCAAATCTCAACACTTGTAACTTTTTTCCTTATCCCACGGCTCATTGTATAAAAAAACAATGATCCAAGCTTTGAAGTAATATCCTGTCCTTTAGATGGAACCACTCTGGCTTTTCATGTTTTGGAGGAAAATTCATTAATCGCCTTAGATTAAATGCGCTAGCAACCTTTGAAAGCCATGTTATAATGGCGAGGCTGTTGGTAGTTAGTTTGGAAGAATACTTCAGATGGTCATGAACATTAGGCTTGATGTCTCCTTTGAGATCCTCAAACCCATCAATGCAGGTCTGCTGGTAAGTACCAGCTGCACTTAGCCATGTCCTGAGGTCATCAACAGCTTGAATAACCGAAACTTCTGATGACAATTAGGAGCTATTAAGATTATCAATTTATAGACTCAAAAGTTCACGACAATTCTCCAAGGCTGCAATTTACATTTTATCAATGTCACCTTTAAAATTTCCATTCTTGGAGAAATACTGGGATGCTTTCGATAGCTCTGTAATTACTACTTTCATCGACAATTGAAGATGCCTTCCAGTTTGAACTGGCAGGAGTCAGCCAAGGGAGCAAGACTATTGTAACATGCATCTTTACACAAGGTCACATCACGTACAGCTTTGATAGAAGTGGAGATGGGTTCAAACTTGACCATTACCACCATTTTTGGAATCTCCTTCGGACCTTCGACTTCCCAACACAGCAGCAAGAACTATCAAAGACGAGCAAATGATGGTCATTCTCCTCCTGATTTTTCAACGAGCCTGGAGCCTTGCTTGATCAGCCTAATTGACTTTGCCATAAGCTCTATCTAAGAATAACATGTTCGAAATCATTTTTCTATTGGATTGTGGTCTAGAACTTGGAAGAATAGCTTTATATATTAGTCCTATTTTATGGAATAGCAAGCTATAAGTTTGGTCTTTTCAATTGGCATTTTGTTTGTCAAAGCAATGCTGTACTTTTTAGTTCTTTGTGCTGCTCATGTTGGTGAACCTTTACACCAAAAACTCCAGTAGCCTTCTGAGTTTCAAGCCACATCACAAAGTTTCCTGACCAGAAAAGAAAAACCCAGCCCACAAAATTTGGTACCTTTTTGACTTTTAGGGCTGTGTAAAACAATTTTCAAGAAATGATTTTTAAAAAATATTTACAATTGTTGAATTAAAAATTTTTTTGTTGTTTGAATAAGTGAATGAAAAATATTTTTTGTTTTTGATTGTTTTTTAAAAATTTTATTTTTTTCAAATAATATTAAAATAATTATTAAAATATTAAATTTATTTATTATTAAAGTTATTGAAATTATTTATTATTAAAATTATTAATATTAAAATTTAATTATATTTTAATAATAATATTTAATATTAAAATATTATGTTAATATAAAAATATTTAAAATAAAACTATTTATTATTTTTTATATTATTTATTAACATACTATAATATTATCTATTAATATATTATTTTAGTAGTATATTATTTATCAATAATATATTATAATATTATTTATTATAATATTATAATATTATTTATTTATATATTATAATATAATTTATTTATTTATTTATTTAATATTATTTATAAGTAAAATTATGCACAAAAATATTAATAAATAATTCTACTTATAAACAGTTTTTTTTTTGGAAAAACGTTTTTTTTATTTTCAAATCCTTATGAAAATATAAAAAATAAAAAGATTTTATTTTTCATTAATCAATAAGTTAATTTTCATTAACCACGCAATTTTTCGTCAAATAAACACTTAAAAATACAAAAATTATTTTTTAACAATCATTTTTCGTAAAATAAACGACCCTAAATTTCAAATTTTCAAACTCCAAAATTGATTAATGTTTTATGTTTTACAATTTCAAAAGTTCAAATTGTCATCAAAATTTGATGACAATACCATCCTACTTTTTTCATCTTGTATCCTTTCTTGTTGCATCTTCTAAACTAAATCATAAGAGAGTTGGAAAGAAACTTTAAAATTCAATTGCTAGAGTTAAAATTGCTAGTTGACCTCTGAAGTTGGAAAGTGCATTAAAATGGAAATGAACGAGTGTTTATGGTGTGCTCCTACCAGGACCAAAAGGATGTTTTCATTTAGTTTATCAGGATCACATAAAGTATAAGATGTACAATGAACGAGTTTCTACATTTTGCCGGAGGAATTATTGCAGAACAGATTCCAGGAAGAGCTGTTATGTTGCTGGCGGAATTCATGGACGCGAATGGGGGTCTGGCAGCAAGGACTTTGCAACAAGAGGTGCGATGGACAAAACCAAATGAAGGTATGCTCAAAGTTAACTTCGATGCAATAGCGTCTGCTCAGGGATACCAACATGGATATGGGATTGGTTACCAGAGAACTATCAAAGGAGAAGTGATTGCTCTGCTGGCTGCAAGGAAATGGCAAAAGCCATATCCTTTTGTGGCATTGAATCTAATCTATAAAGCCAAACTGAAAATTCATTTTGGCAAATCTATTTCAACATTCATGTTTCATAAAAATTGATTGACGGGACACTGCATCTACCAGTAACAATGCAAGAATTTATATCTCTTCCAAAGAAGCAAAAGAAGCAATTTCATGTATGATAATTGTTCCTTTCATTGACTCATTCCTGGAATATTATACTAATAGAAAGGAAAGGAATGAAGATGAAATGATTAATGCTTACTCCATCATACTGCCTAAGGAGCTTTGATGGCGCCTAGTCACCTGAATTAAGATGGAGATAGATTCTCCCGACCAAACTAGGGGAAGAATTTAGGTCAGAAGCATCCCAAACTTAGGTGTAGCTTCAGAAACAGGAAACTAAAACAGGAAATAATCATGACATATATGCTAGATATATGGCCCATATAACACACAATAAAAAGAAAACAGATCCTCACAGCCCTGATATCAATCATTAATCAAGAGTTAAACGTGTAGCAGATGAAAAAACAATAAAACTTAGGCAAAAATAGGAACCACCTTATAGGCAAAACAGACTTGTCACAAAACACAATCCAAAATAAAGAGCAAAATCCTATAAACTAATTTTAAAGAAACTATTTCATTAAAATATTGACCTACTGAAATCCAGTTAGCACTACAAATGTTACTCATGGCTCTTAAAGAAATCAAAAAGGTTGTCTCACGAAGGTTGAGATATTAGTACAACAATAGAGTAGCTCTCTTCACCATCCAGTTGTAATTTTTGCTAACAATTCTAGACTCCTCAAACCCAAAATAACCCATCATTTGGAGCATCTCAAAATTCTTAACATAGAGGCACCAAAAGCCGAGTTACATTGATAGAAATTGGGACAAAGTAAGGTAGTTAGGCTATCAGATCAATACATTCCAAAAGATAGATGACATTGATATCATCTTTGCATCAATCTGTATAAAATCTCACAATTCATTATTAAGTTGTACACTACTCTACAATCACATAAATAAGACCACATATGCACTCAATACTCAAACAAGTTTCTGCATATTGTTTGCACTATCCTTAAATCAAGACCAATTCCACATTGATGAGCAATAAGGTATATATTGAGCTTAAGGCCTGAAACAACCCAGAAATCGTACCCACAGTCTTGGTTCTGTATGATCGAAAGAAACTTTATGTATATAACCACTGAAGTTTATTTAACTACAAATTGAATTCAAGAACAGAAGTAAAGCATAAATAATAGTCTGTTCTCATTACAATCTGTCACTTACAACATATGCAAGTCCATTGCATTAAGATAACACTAAATATTTACAATATCATATAGGAGAAATAAATGACCTCCTTGACAATCAAAATGCCCAAACCAAATACGGCATTTTGATTACATTACACTATTATTGTCAACATCCAGTTGAACTACACAACAAACGATCATCAGCTCTCTGCTAATGAATCGTTTCATAACAAACACATTAAACCATTAACCGCATCATCAATATACGATAACAAATGAAAAAACAAGCTTCTAAATATACCTCAACACCCTGTAGCAATCAAAGTTTTAAGAGCAGCAATCCGGGCATCGAATCAAACCATTTTCATTGCATTCCAAGCATCTCTTAAGCAAACCTTCATCTTCATCAAACACTTTTCGACTCCCACTACAATTCCCACAAGGCACAAACCTGACATCCCCACAAGCATCACAAACAAACCCAGGTTGTCTCCTTGGAAACCCATCAAGAATCTTAGCCAATTCACCAACTTCAAACATGCTTTTAATCACATCAGCACCACCAACATACTTTCCCTTTATAAAAACCTGAGGCAAACTCACATTTTTCTCTTTCAAAACGCTTTGCAACTCTTTCTTGTAAGCTGCATCCATTGAAATATCTCTTTCATCAACCCAAACTCTAAACCCTCTAAATATCATCCTAACAGCATAACAATCCTCGTAAGTCCTTCGAATTCCTCGCAAACTTGTTAAATAAACAACGATTCGATCTTCAGTTCCGGGTAATCTTATCAAAGGGTTATTAAAGCTCGAAGAAAACGAAGACGAATACCCAATTGATTTGGTGGGTCTTAAAACAACCTTAGGGGAAGGTTCTTTGGGACTGGTTAAGTTGGATGAAGACGATGAAGATTTGGATGATTCAAATAAATTGCAAAGCTTTTTAACTTTACCTTTGACGGAATCAATTGAACTGTAAAATTTGGAAATGGAAGCAGCTCGATTAACAGATGAAGGATTGCTAAGAAGAAGACGAACTTTGGCGGAATTGGAATCAGATGCGGTTGTGCCGTGCATCGTAAACGAACGATTTAAGAACATCGACCCAGATGATGATGATGATGATGATTTGGCCTTGTTATTTTCCAATTCTGCCATCGACCCAGATCAGAAAAACTCACAAATTAACAATAAAATCCAAACTTTTTTGTTTTTGAGAAGATGAAATGAAGATTTTGAAAAATGTATATGAATATTTGTCGGGGATTGGTTGTTGTTGCGTTTTGCTTTAGGAAAGGAGAGATAGAAAAGTCGTTTTGTCTGTTGAAGAAAAGGAAAGGCTTTTTTTCCTTTTTTTTTTTTTTTTTTGTTAGCTTTTTATTTTTTGGAGGAAGAAAAGGGGAGAGGACGAGCTGTGCTATTTGTAGACGTAGCCTCAAAGCAAGAATTTTATTCTCTGTTGTTTATATTAAAATATTATTTTTATAAATTATTTTAATATTTTTTCCAAATAAAAGTTAAAATAATAAATTAAATATTTATTTTTTAATACATTACATTAACTTGATTTGGATACCTGATAAAAACTCTTCAATGGCAAATAGTTAAGTATTTGCTACTTTTTGTTAAATAAAAAAAATTGCGACTTCTTACTTAAATAATGAAAAAAAAATTAAAAATGTTAATTATTTCCTAAGTTATATAAAAAAAATTATAATAATTTGATGAAAATAATATATAATGACAATTATTTTTAATTATCTTCAATCTCTACTTATGAATCACTCATTGGTATATAATATTTATAGTGTATTTTTCAAAAAATTTTAAAATAAATTAAAATATTATTATATTACAACAACACATAAAAAAAAAAAATCATCTATTAAATTGTAGGACTATTAAAAAGTGCAATGAGATTATAAAAATTATATTTTTGTGTAGTAAAATAGTTAAATTTTTATTTAGTTTTTTTTTTTTTATTTGGAAGAGAAAACCTGCTTTGAAAGTCACCGAGTCACCGCCTCTTTTGAAAGACGCGGTTTGCCTTGTTTGAATTTGGCTGTATTTTTAGAGGAAGGAGAATGTTTATTTATATTTTATTATTATACCAAACTCACGTGTATAACACGTGCTATTACCACAAAGGCAAAACTACACATTTTCTAGTCAACTTGGTGACCGGAAAAAGAGTAGATGTTTTTGTAGTGTTTTTATATAAGGTGATTGACCAAATCAAACTTAGCTATTCTAATAATGAAGCTCCAAAAAATTTCCTCTAACATTTTTATTAATTATAAACTAAAAGCTCTTATGCATGTCATTTACTTAAAAAATAATTTGTCAAAAATTAATATTTTTACATACAAAATTAGATTTATCAATTCATAGATTTTTTTTATGTCAAAAACTTTTTTTGATTTTACTTTTTTTTATGATACCATCATTATTATTATTGTTATTATTCCAAAATTTTAAATTTAAATGTCAGTCAAGAAGTTAAAATCTTAAATAAGAGTGTAAAGAAGTCAAACAATTTATAAATTATTTGGATTGAATTCAAAAAAATTTGAATTCGATTCGTTCATTGCTGAATCAAATGAGAATTTGAATTCAAGCTATTTAAGTAATTAACGAGTTGAGTTGAATTTAAATAATTTAATATCCAACTCTAAAAGTTCTTGAATCAATCAAATTTAATTTGATTTTTATTTTTAATATATAAATAAATAAATAAATAATTTTTAATGTCAATATTTATAATTATATCAAAGATTATTAAGGTTATCAAGTCAAATTCAAGTAACTTAATTAAATTATGAGCTGAATTTGAACATTAAAAATGAAGTTTAATTAAGCTCAAGTCAAACTTCAAACCTTAAATTTTTAAATTAAATTGAGCATAAATTTAATAATGTATCAATTTGGTTACGTCTGTAATCCTAAATGGTTTAAATTTCTCTTTTTTATATTTTAAAACAATTTTTATATAAATATTATGGAAATTAAATCAATGTTTGTCTCAAGAGCTCCTCAGGAAGGGTCCTTTTCATGAACCCAACGCGCCAATTATTTCAAAGTCATGGAGCGGTTAGTTGGTGCTGAATGAATTAAAATTCAGATATTTAATGTTAAAATTGATTTAGGATGAAATACAAGCTAAGACCATCAATTTAAATTATTGATTCGGGTTAAAGTCTCATAAATTTTGAATTTGATTTAATTATATTTTAAAGCTAAGATCATACGACATCAATTTTCATTAAAATAATTAAATAATTAAATATTTAATGATAGCACCTGCGTTTCGTTGTGAGAAAAGTAGAGGTTTTATTTTATTTTGATTTAAAAAGTAAATTAATTAATCAATATTAGATTATGCCCTCACTTCATCGAGGGTTTGTTAAAAATATTTATAAATTTTTTTATTTAATTAATTTTATTATATAATTTTAAATTATATTATATTAAATAAATTTATTTATTAATTTTATTTTATATATTTATTTAAATATATGTATTGATAGTGGTATAATCATATTTTATCAATTATGAAAATTAAATATATAAAAGTTATTTATTTATAAATTATTACATAATAAAAATGTATTTGAAATGTCAAATCAACTCATTTTATTATGTATTTGAAATGTCGAATCCTTCATGGTAAGGGTTCCATATGCAAAAAAAATAAACTATGACATTATAATAAAAAAAAATCATCATTTGGAATATATATAGAGAATTCAATAATAAATAAGTCATCAATGTTGATAGTTAAACTTTATTGTAACATAAAATATACTAGAATCATCTCACTAAAAAAGTTAAACCCTTCAAGTCCACTAAGAGATTTTGCTAACAAATATATAGTAATCACCTTAATGATATGTAACAGTAAAATATATAGTATATTAGTAAACTAAGAAACTTAGGTAAAACCTAACATTGAAGTCAAAGAGAGCTAAGCTTAAATCAATACAATTAAACCGATTGTCCAACCCAAGCAAATGCAATGCCACCATAAGTTGCAGACACGATCACAACGACCAAATCTGATATTAATCTACAAAGCATAAGCCAAAAAAAAAAAAGTTTAAACCCACTTATTAAACTGACATCATTGGGTCTTTTATAATAATTTTTTTTGTATTTTATTGAATTGATATTTGTTTGAATTAAAAGTTAGAGTGATATGTACAATTAATAAGAATTAAACCACAGATAAATAAAATTAAACAAAAAACTCTCAAAATTACAAATAAATAAAAATACATTGTCCAGGGTCCATGGAAGAAGAAATATTCTTTTATGGTTACACTATAAACTTAAAAAAAAATTAAAAAAAGTTGAAGATAATATATATAATCAAAATGAAAAAAAAAAAGAATAGAAAGTACCTCTAATAGCCAAGACTCTCGAGTATTCAAGAAATAAACTCCCAAAACTTAATTGGCTCAATATTAGTTACAAAATATGTTTGTCAAATCATCGTAAAATCATTATCAAGCAAGGAATTGATTTTAGCAACAAAATATAAAAACCAATCTCCTGATCTGTTAGCTTAGTCAACCAAATACATTGCAAGGCAATAGGTAAAAAGAATCACCTTGAAGGATTACCCCCAATGAACTAAATACTTATGTTGTAACAGCATCTTCAGGAAATTTTAGCATCTAGTAAAAGCATATCTTTAAATTAGAACTTGTAAGTTTGAAAATTCTCTCTTTATTTTATGGCCTATAAAATGATATTAAAGTAAACATGCTATATGACACATGTAAATCATTAAAGTAAATTTATCATTTTCCACCACTTCTATCTGAGAGCACTTACAAATTGAAAAAAGTAGTAAGCAATTAAAAAAGTACCTACCTTGCAGCTTTTTTGGCAACTTTTCCACTAGATGCTAGAGCTTGTTCGGCACAAATATGAGCATGAGCCACATTTTCAACGCAATTTGTTGATATTTACTTATCTCAACTGCATTTAGGAATAGTTTTTTAGTAAAATCATTAGTCTTAGAAAAGATGAATGATAGAATGAAATTTAGAGTAATATTCATGTAACTAGGTTCCTAAGAATTAGCTCCCATTGGCATTCTCAATATATTTACCATAGCATTGCTATAATAAGGTATGTAAGACTTTTGCAGTCTAAATTTTCAGGTTTCATTTGGAGCAAAGTCTTTAATTTCAGCAAAGTATGTGTTAACCTTAAATTTATCCTTATTTTGAAATGACAAAACATTAAAGCTAAATAAACTTGATCAAGATTTTGAAAAAGATTTATTTAGTACATGTTTTTAAGTTTTATATTTTAGTACTAAATAAATAATATGATTTTCAAAGCTTAAACAAACCTTTCTTTGTTTTCATGTTTTTCAAATCAAATCTATCTTTGAAGATTATTTATTTGAGCTTAAATGAATGTCTAATTGTTTTTTTTAAAGTGAACTTATTCATTTTGGACTTAATACAATTTTGAAAATATTGGTTTTAAGAAATAGATCAACTTAAAGAAGTTATTTTACAAGAATAAAGTTTTTTCAACATCGAACTTGTTTTATTTTTTTGTATTAATTCACAAGGTTTTAATATTTGAATTTTATATGATTGGAAAGCACTTTGAGTCTACTTTCTAATGGATTAAACAAAATCAAAATCCAAATTTTCTAAGAAAAGATTTTCAATTTTTACATGATACTCTGCAGTTGTCTAAAAACTGCATAAAGGGTAGATTTAAAAATTCACTATAATTCTTACACAAATAATTAGGTGATGAATTTTATATGGATAGAAAGCTCTTTAATTCTAGTTTTTAAATCTTCAAATAGTTTGTGATTTAGATTTGTATAACTCAAGATATGATCAAATTAGTGAGTAGAGTACAAAACATGAGATAACCACCCAGCTTGGACAGGATCGATCCTCTCAAGGAAATGATCAATTGCTTTTTTACCCATAAGCAAATTTTCTATTGAAATGGCAAGAAGGGATCAATCACCCTACATAGGGGATTGATCACCCCTGAACCAATCGATCCCCTACATAAAATGATCGATCGAGTCATAATTTTTAAAGGCAAATTGGTTTAAAACATGAACCAATCGATCCCCTCATGGAAGGGATCGATCGGGTTATACCCAGGATGTGTCCAACGACTATTTTCTCAAGAATTCAATGGCTATTTTCTTCTCCCAAGCATCTCCAATGGCTATTTCTTTATTTTCTTTATATATTAGCTATTCTAACACACTAAGAAGATTGATAAAGCAACAGAACAAGTGATAACAAGTTATATTTTTATTTTCTCTTAGAATCAAGAGTTTTTAGAGCTTAAGTTCAATATCCTTTGTATTTCTTGCATCCAAAATATTG